TTCAGCACAGCTTTCTTACAGGGCAGCCTACACGAGGAGATCTGGCTGCGCTACCCACCTGGCTTCACTGGGTCGTTTCCTGCTGGTACCCAGTGGAGCCTCCGGCGGCTAGTCTACGGTCTCCGCCAGGCGCCTCGTGAGTGGCACGACACAGTGAGGACTACACTTGCGGCTCTTGGGTTTGCTCCTTCAACTGCTGACCCGTCGCTGTTTCAGCGCACCGACACTTCCCTGCCGCTGTTCTACATCCTCATGTACGTCGACGACTTGGTTTTTGCCACTGCTGACACTGAGGCACTGGACCTTGTGTAGTCGGAGCTGCAGAAGAGACACACATGCACATACCTGGGTGAGCTGCGCAGCTATCTTGGCATGCAGATTACTCAGATTACGGCGCACCATCACCCTGACTCAGTCACACATGGTGCACCAGGTCCTTCAGCGCTTCGGCTTCCTGTTCTCCTTGCCACAGTCCACTCCTCTGCCTACCGGTCACTCGCTCTCAGCTCCACCTTCGGACGAGTCCATAGAGCCGAGTGGCCCGTATCCAGAGCTTGTGGGCTGCCTCATGCACCTGATGACCTGCACTCGACCTAACCTTGCGTACCCTCTTAGCATCCGGACATACTACGTTGCACTTGGGAGACATCGACCAGAGCACTGGGAGGCCGCTAAGAGGGTGTTGCGTTACTTGTGCAGTACATCGGGCATGGGGCTTGTGCTTGGAGGACAGGGTCCAGTTGTCCTCACTGGACACGCAGACGCTTCTTGGGTTGAAGACTTGGCTACGCAGCGGTCATCAGAGGGTTACACCTTCAGCCTTGGCTCCAGTTATGTTTCTTGGCGGTCTACCCGCTCGTCCTCTGTTATTAGTTCCAGTTGTGAGGCTAAGATCTACCAGAGGCCGTGGCTGCACAGGAGTTACGCTGGCTCACCTACCTGCTGACCGACTTGGGAGAGGCGCCTCGTTTTCCTCCAGTTCTGTACGTAGACAACAAGGCCATGATTGCCTTGTGTCATGAGCACAGACTGGAGCACACGATGAAGCACATCGCTCTGCGTTACTTCCTTGTCCGAGAATTGCAGCAGCGTGGTCAGCTTCATCTTGCTTACGTGGCCACTCGGGCCAACACTGCTGATATATTCACCAAGGCACTTCAGTCTGGTGATTATCAGCGTTTCTGTGCCTCACTTGGCCTTCTGCCTGCTTTGTCTCACTTGCTCACTTGGTGACTTTGCTTGTACTGTGATATATATATATATGTATATATATATATATACCTGCATGCTTCCACTTGCTAGGTTGTGATCACTGTACTGCTTGTTCTCATTTATAAAACTCTGCATGTGAACTGGCCTTGTGGCCGCTTGCTTGTGCTCAGAATGTGTGGTGACTTCGTAATCCACCCTGAGCTTGCTTTGTTTTTCTTGACTGGTCTTGTAACCCCTTGTTCTCCCCCACTTTGCCTATGGGGGTGTTTTGCCTAATGGGGGTGTGTCAAATTGTTATGTTGTGTGTTTTGTGTTGGCTGTAGTGGGGTAGCCCATATAGGGTACAACTCAATTAGGGTTAGTACTTGTACCACATTTCTGTTCAGTGCATTCATTCTCGCTTAGTCTTCTGACACGCTATCAATGAGAATCCTGGCAGGAATTCCACGAAGCTTCCCCCGCATTCCTCCCTCGAACCTCTCACCATCCAGTGACTTTTGGGGTCCACCCCCCTCCACGCCTCCCACTGACCGCGAGACTATCCTTCCGTACAGCCGTTACCCTCACAATCCTCTTCCCACTGAATCCACGCACATTGGACCAAGTGATCCTCCCACTCTCCCATTCATGGTCCACCCCCACATCACGTCCCTCGTACTGTCCTCTCTGAAGGCACGGCAGACATAGACAATCTCCCAACACCACTCGCTGCAATCACCACAGCCGAACCAACTCTCCCGCTCACTGCTCGTGATCTCATTCTGGCTCGGCCTCTACATCTCGCCACAGCCAATCCCTCAGCTACCTCCCACCAACACTGCCGAACTGCTAGCCTTTATGCGCGCTCACCTGCCATTCGCACTCCCCCTGACCTTTGGCACAAACGCCTTGGTCACCCCTCCCAGGAAGTTCTCAACAACTGCATCCACGCTCACGTATTCCTTCCTGGAACGCTTCTCCGCCCTGACGAAACCCGTGTCCCCGTCAACACCAATCGTCGCACCAACTGCACTATCTGCCATGAAGCTGCACCGACTCACCAGCCCTTCAAGCTCCTCGAGCCCAGAACGAACCGCTCCGAGAAACTCCAGGAAGTTTACAGCGACTTTCTCGTCCTCACCCAGACCGGCATCAGCAGTGAGGAATACACCCTCACCCTTGTCAGCGCCCATCCCTGCTTCGCCTGGGTGGCCAATGTCTCTTACAGGAGCAAGGCGTATAACATCTTCAAAGTCTGGCACACCAACGCAGAGACCCAGTCAAGGTGCACCCTCAACTTTTGGCAAACCGACTGCGCAGTAGAGTTCAAGAGCGACAAGCTGGCGGCATACCTGCAAGAGAAGGGAATAACCTACAAGCTCTCCCTCCCTTACGCACATCCCCAGCAAGGCGTCGCGGAACGCACCAACCGCACACTCATGACCAAAGTTCACGCCCTCCTGCAGTAGAGCGACATTGTCGTGAAGTACAGGCGTTACGCCATGCATCACGCTGTCCGTCTCCACTACCTGCACAGCACCACCGCCAACATTGATAACCTCTCCCCTCACCTCAAGTTCACCGGCGACAAGGGTGACATTTCCATGCTCTACATCTGGGAATGCATGGTGCAGTATCGGCCAGCAGCGGCAACCACGGGGAAGTTCGAACGCCGTGCCTGCTCGGGCGTGCATCTCAGCATTAGCTTCGAACACCACGCCTGGAACATCCTCGACCACGACACCTCGCGAACGGTCGTTGTTATGACGTCATATTCTACAAAAATCTCACCGTCCGCAAGTTCCAGTGCGACCGCCACGCTCACCGCACCTGGGGAGAACACAACATCACGGATTACGAGCGCCCACCACGCAGCTTCGCTACCCCCGAAGACGAAGTAGAGGCAGCGCTCGCGGGTCGGGATCCAACGAATCCCCATCCTGGCCCTCGCCCATGGGGCGACAAAGACGACGACGAGGATAGCGCCTCCAATCGATTCCTCGCGTGACTCCCTCCTCAGCCCCGCTCCTTCCAGCGGCCACAACTCTGACGACGATGTGGTGGAAGTCACCAGGGATCAGTGGCATAACCCCGGCCTCTCAGGACTTCAATCCTTGGCCTTCACAAGGCTGTCTCCCGTCCACCAAAGGCGATTGAACCCAAAACCCTACGCCAAGCCCTCACAGGTCCCTATGCCACAGAATGGTGCGACGCTATGGATGCTGAAGTCGCTGCTCTCGAAGCCCGCGACATAGGGTCCTCGCTCACCACGCCGCGCTGAAGGGGAGACGTGTCCTTTCCGGCAAATGGGTCTTCCACGTCAATACTGCCGCTGCCGGCACCATCGAACGCTTTAAAGCTTGCTAGGTCGTGCGGGGCTTTGATCAACGTCACAGTGTTGATTTTGATGAAACCTTCGCACCCGTCAGCCGCCAAACCTCCGTCCGCATCCTCCTCGCCATCTCCGCCGCGAAGCATCTCCCACTTCGTCAAATCGATGTGAAAAATGCCTTCCTCTATGCGCCAGTCGATGCTCTCATCTTCGTTGAGCAGCCTCACACCTACGGCGACGGCAACGACCGCATGTGTCAGCTCAAGAAAACGCTGTACTGCATCAATCAGGCACCACGCCTCTTGCGGCAGCATCTCCATCAAATCCTCCTCGATAGTGGCTTCATCTAGCTGCCCCACGATCCTGGCATGTACCACCTTCACTACCGCGGATATTACATCCTACTAACGGCGTACGTGGATGATTTTCTCTACACCGGCACCAGCAACGAACTCATCGCGCAGTTTGAGAAAAACCTCAGCAACCGCGTCGAAATCACCAGCACCGATCAGGTCACTCAATTCCTGGGCCTCAACATCTCTTACGCTGCTGACGCCATTCACCTTTCCGCCGCCAAGTACGCTGATTCCTTCTCCGCAAAGTTCAACATCGAACCTGCAAACATCTCCACCCCTTATCGCTCTCCCGCCATCCCCAACAACCCCAACACAATCCCACTCAACCACTCCGGACATCAATCAGCTCTACCAGCAGCAACTCGGCCGTCTCCTCTTCGCTGCAGTGATATGCGGGCTTGACTTGTCTTACATTTCGAGCCAACTCGCTCAGTATGCCAAGCGGCCTGAAGAGGAGCATATGTTAGACTTGCAGCGCGCCTCACGATCGTGCGGGTTTGCAACCGTGCGGTTCGATAACCGTACGCGGTTCGGTAACCGTTTGAAGCTTTCCCGCGCTTTGCATTTCGATCACGGCTGATACTGTATCCTTGGTAAGCTCTGTATCCAAGATATCATGTGGGTGAAAATCAGGCTCTTTTTTCTGAAACCCTGGAAATTCAGACTTTTTGTTTTAAGAATACTGATTTTCAGCCCTTTTCAAATAGGGACCCTGATGCATCAACATCCCTAAAAGTGAATTCAAGGCCCTAACACACACGCAAATGGAAAAAAATGCTTGCTAAATATAACTTTTGTCAGCCAGCCCTGTAGTTAAACATAGTTCTGTATTGATCATAACGTTACTGACAACTCGGCTACTTCAGACAAAAGACTCAAGCGGAATCAGATAGCTGTCATCGGCTCCAAACTGGTACGCTGCTGCTTGCTGCTCATGGCTGGAGCACAGTCGGTGCATCCCAAGCACTGGCAAGGACCTGCATGTATTCCCTTCTGCAGAGCCTCAGGTTGAATAAGCTCTGCCCTGCTGTTGAGGGTCTTTTCAACATGGAACGTTCATGCCGTGCTGTGCCGTGCTGCTACTTGCTTCCAAGGAAAGGAATGGGAGCGGAGGCCCGGCGTCACGAGACAAAGGGGATGCCCGACATCACCGAGGCGGCGTATCGTGCGTACTCGAGGCCAAAGATCTGGTGCAGGTAGAACTCCTCGTAGCTGGGATGTGGGGAGAAAGAGGGGGGGTTAGGGTCACGGGAGCAGAGGAAATAGCATGATGAGTTGAAGGGAAAATTGGATGGCATATCGAGCATACTCAAGTCCGAAGAACTGGTGGAGGTAAAACTCCTCGTAGCTGGGGGAAGGAAGGGGGGGAGGGGAGAAGTGGGGAATGGGTGGGTGTGGGAGCAGATGAGACAAAGAGAATGGCAGACGACAGAGGCGGCGAATTATACGTATTCGAAGCCAAGAACTGGTGCAGATATAACTCCTTGTAGCTGTGGAGGGGGTTTGCGAGGAGGAGGGGGGGAGAGAAGGGGGCAGGAGGGGGAGGGGGGCGGTCGGGGAGATGAAAGGAATGGTAGAAGAGAAGGATGGGATGGGAATGGTGAATGGGGCAGTGGAAGGAGGATTGCTGGTGAGAGGGGCGCGGTAGCAGAGGGATTGGGAAATGGTGGTGGAGAGGTGAAGGCGACGGGGAAAAGGGAATTGGGGGCAAGGGAATGAGGGGGACTTGAAACAACGGTATGGGGACGGGGTTTGGGGGATGTGGAATAGGGGCATGGAGAGTCACAGTGTGTCTGGTCTGGACTCTGGACGAGCCTCCAGCATTGCAACTCTTCCAGCGTCAATGCATCGTCAGATTTCAATGGATTGACAACGAAGCGCCAGGAGATGAGGGCAACCCACGGCACCGCAGGTCCTGCCCTAGTCCGTCTGAGCCCACAGGGTAACTCACGTCCACAGGGTGATTCATGGGATGACTCCGAGCCCACAGAGTAACTCACAGGATTCATACTCAAGCAAGAGGACAAACTCATGGGATGCTCGCAGCGAAGAAGCGCCAGGAGACGAGGGCAAAGGCGAGCGTACAGAGGGGGTTGACGAGCAGCAGCCGCGTCGCTATGCTCCACATGAACCACCCCGTGTAGCCCGGATGCCACACCCACCTGCCATGGGACCGTGGGGAACACGGGTAGGGCATGGGATGGTCACACATGCATGCAGTGCTGGCGATGCAGGCAGAGGAGCCACAGTGACACGCCCGTGCAAATAGGCATCTCAACACCCAGGCATGATCAAGTCTTTTTCCTCCCAATAGTTCACTCTGCTGCCTTCCAAGAGGTGTCAGGCCTGAGTCACACTCCTTCACTGCATTAACGCCCAGACAGCTGCCACCTGCACTGCTCGTGACAGTGGTTGCACTTCTTGTGCGTCTAGGAGGACCACACCACATCAGCACACATACCCCTTCCTTCCGACCAATCACACGATCGCCCGACCTACGCCCACCTATACAACCCAGGTGTGAGCAGCCTGAATGTCATGGATAAAGTTCCTCCCTCTTGTCACCATCGCTGTTATCAGGTGCACCATAAGAGCACACACAAGCACCCAACCCAACACCTTCCACCCAAACAACTCCCTCCTGTACAGCCCATAACTGCATGACCATCATCAATCAGCGCCCACCTGTACAGCCCATGAGTGGCCAATCGGTGCTCGCGCGGCTTCTCCGTCTGACTATCATGTGTGAAAATCCTCCCCACCGTCACCATTGCTGCCTTGTGCACCGCCTCACCCACTACCACCAGCATCACCAGCCCCACCTGCGCCCCCGTCCACGCCGCCAACTCTCACCTGTACAGCCCGTGCGTCACCAGTCGATCTTCTCGCCACTTCTCCGTCTGAATGTCATGAGTGAAGCTCCTCCCCGCCGTCACCATGGCTGCCTTGCGCACCGCTTCCCCCCGCCAGCAGCTGTTATAGGCACAGTAGGCTTCAATGTGCCTAAAAACGAAAGATAGAGTGCACAGTCGGATTTCTCCACAGCGGCTTTAATCGTTCATAGCGTTCTGGTCGCAAATTCAAATGACCTGATTCAACTTGAAGCTGGAGCGTCTTAATGTCGCCTACAATAGGCAATTTAGATCGCATGATTTAACCAAGTATTGACGACACAGCGTCGGTTCGAACAAACGGCACTATGGCAGCCACTATAGTCTTAGAACACTAGAATGAGTTAGGAAGAGTTTACGAGTTGGGAATGACTCCCAACTCCTACAAACCCCAAGAGCCGAGGTACAGTGATGTGGAGCAGTGCCACACTGTCCCCAACCACGAAGGGTCTCGAAACTACCCTTCACTAGGGCCTACACCAAGTGAAATGTTACACTACACAAAGTAATGTAACTATCTTCAATTTCTTGAGGTGTACCCTTTTGGCGAGCTTCGCAATCACTTGAAAGTTGACACCAGGGCTCGGTTTCTTCATCACAAACTCATCCTTGAGTTCTTGATGGGTTTGCTGCCACACACCTGCGACACGCCGAACGTTCGACAAGCGACAAAATAAAAACCGCGCACGACAAAGTAGAAACCGCACGGGACACACAAAATGACCACGTACACGCGACTAGCGATAAATTCGCTATTGACTTTGACACACACACTCGACATCTGAACCATCATTCACACACTATTATAAGCATGAAATATATATTTTTTTTCATGCACTCATTCCATCTCCATGCACACACCCATGCACGCGCACGGACAACAAGCCGAGTGCAAAACCGTAGGGTTGCACCAACAAACTCCCCCTTGGATCGTTGGCCTCTATAATCTTGCTCTCTTAGATCAGAGCACCATCCAAGTTAGCTTGCAACACTTCCAATGCTGCTGCTCCACCAGCCTTTTGGTTAATCATGTCAGCTGGCTGCCCCGTCGTCTTCACGTAGCGCAATTCAACTTCACCTGCGGCCACCATGCTCATTGTCCCAGTGCCACTTCACCCTCACGTGCTTAGTGAGGCCATGCAACACAGGGTTCTTAGCAAGAGCGATGGCACCCTGGCTGTCACAGTAGAGTGGGGTAGGTCCTTGCTGCTCTCCCCCGATTCAGCCAACAAACGCCGCTGCCACACAATC